CCATCCGTTTGACTCCATGTTGTTCGCATGTCTTGGGCTGTTAGCCATCCTCCAATGCCCGTCTGCATATTGCACATGTTGTCTTGATGTCAGCACATGATCTTCTGTGCTCCACGACCCGCTCACCATCGACGTCAGTCTCCCATATGCGAAGTGGACCAACTGCACATACTTGACAACGAGTTATGAGATTTGTCTAAATGTTCACCTACGCCCAGTGTCTGCAACTTGTACCTGCAGGCAACCTTGGCTCCAATCACCAATTCCGTCACATGCTGATCGATCACCACTGTTGTTGCTCATGACCTTGGTCTGGTCCACCAAGTTACTTTTATTCCGAAATTCGCCTTTGTAACAAACTTCCCCTGCTTAAGCCTCTTGACGTCCTCGTCGAGGTCAATTCCATTCTCATTCTATTTATTTGATTATAATCTCTTACCCAAAGTTTCAATAAATAAATAAAAAAAATTCAATCTCTTATTGTTCTAGAGATTTGACCAAATATCCATAAACTCTTGGTTTCCTTTCTTTAAAAAAGAAGCCTGCTGACTTTTATTCATTGTCAAACTTTGTTGCAAAATCATGATTTCCACCCTCCATTGCTCCAAATGTTAAATTCGTTTTCTTGTATCCGACCTTCTTGTCAGTTACAAGGCTGAGTTTATGAAGCAGTTTAATCAAGCAAGATATACAATGCTATGAATTACTTTTGATAGTTTTCTAAACTGTTACATGAGATACATCTAAAAAAAGAAACCCCCACCAAACCTGACATGGTTGAGAAATTACCTTGATGTATATATCTCTTATCAAGTAAAGACATTCATTAAAAAAAAGCAAAAGAAAAGAAAAAAAAAAGATTTGATAGGTTTCCTCCAATGTCGACGTTATTGTTTTTCATTGCTAAATAATTACTGATAAGATGGATGAGAGTAGACAAAAGATAACATCTTTGTGAAATATGGAAAAATTTCTTGTATTCTCAACCATATTTTCACAAATAATGCATTCACAAAAAAAAATCATTTCTATATCACATTTAAATTTTGAAAATATGAATATCATGGATTCATCTAGCACTAGCATATGCACTATGCATTTGGAGTTACGTTCATTAGTTG